CGTGACCATGTTGAGTTGTTCATATAGATTATAGACATGACTTGGTCTTGAACACGTTCACGTTTTACATCATGAGCCTTAGTACACTGTTAGACTTGGGGGATGGCGCGGGTAGGTAGTGATGTCCTCGCGGCATCCACGTGTTTACAGATCCTGCACGTGTTTAAACACAGCCCTATGCACATGTATGGTTGACCATGTCCACCAAGTGGTCAGTACCCCAACACATAGTCAGGTGTTGTCTGACCTATAAGTCCCAAGGTGCTGACTATCAGTAAGAACATTTCTTAATAATTCAACAAAGAGTATTTTATTTGAGTTGGCATCAGTCATGTCAGTGCATCTTCCCGAGACAAGAGAGTTAACTGACTATAAAGGTCCAGTTTCAACCCTTGCCGGACCAGGCTGGAATTTCTGGGCTCGATCGTAGTGCCACCAGTGGTTATTATGAGTTGTGTCCCTTCTATGCCTCTCCTATGGACCAATCAGATTCCATCTCTCGTATCATTTGCATTTGCTTCAAACATAATGACGGCGCCCAGCGAAGACGATCTGATCAATAATCAAGATTTATATTGTGATAAAACGGGTTTTACATCGCAAAGTACATCCAATCACGTGCGCAAGTTGATTAAAAACTTGACAAAATTGAAAAAATCTGTTGACAAAGAGTTGGCGGTCCACATGCTTTGCAAATCCTGCAATCGACCGAAATCTGTACGACAGTTTACGAACCGGATTTCGATTTCGGTACGCGATTTTGATTGGACCATGCATAGACTCGTTAGTCCAGTCAAAATATAACTCCATAATACCAGCCTAGTTCGGCAAGGGTGGAAACTGGACTTTTAAAGTCAGTTAACTCCCTTGCCTCGAGAAGATGTGTCAGTGTCGCTGCAGAAAACGTGGATGTCCTTGACGTGTTCAGTTCATGACCCTACACATCTCAAGGTCGGCTCCACTGCTTGCTCATGTTGAAACAAACAATTAAATGTGGCCACGCCTTGATGTTATTGTGCGTGACTCTGTGAATGATTACTTACAGCCAGTCGTCATATAGATGGGATATTACTGCATGCGTCGTTAAACAACACACAAATTTGTACTCTTGTTATGGTTGGCTTACACATATTTTATTCACAAAAAGTGAATGGGATTTGGTACAAGTTCTCCAACTTGGGACACCTTCTCCCAGATATGTACACAAATGATTTACAGCTTGTACTAAACATGAACAGAGTGAGTGAGTGAGTGAGTATGGTTTTAGCAATATCCCAGCACTATCACGGAAACATGAACAGAAGGAAAGAAAAGAATAGGAAAGATAAGTAAACAGTGAGAACAAAATAGTTAAAGTAATCTCTTTGTATTATGTATATAACTCAGTACATAATCGATATTTTTTGTTATCTTGTGCTGAAATAATGCCGATGCGACGTTAAATTTTAACTCACTCACTCTGGTCAATCCCCATTTCCGTTGAATGTCAGTTGGTGTATTTCCGGCTATACTGATTATGTTTCTAAGTAAAGTGTCCCTTCTTCACTTAACAAGTCACATTCAAAGAAAAATCGATATGCATTTCACACTGACTTCGTGACCAACTCGTGTTATTCCGGGACAAGCCGAATAGCGACTCGAGCCCCTCTTATGGCCATATTTGCGACCGGGTTTCGTCCTAGCAAAAAGGGACATAATTAAAAGAATTGTCAATTCGTTGCGTAATGATTCACGTATATTTCCCCTATATATTATATAATTTCGGATGCAATTTAACGCACATCGGGACTTACAGTATTATTAATACTTAAGTATTATTGAACACATATAACTGTATCTTGGGTATATTTTTAGATGCAAGACATATGTAAAATCAAAAATTATTCCTGAGGGATTCCTTGATCGAAGAACTTGTCAGAACTACTTGAAGAACTACGCGCATTTTGATTGGTTAATATTTTCTAACATAACATTCATCGACAGGGGGGCGATCCTTCTTGCAGGTGACGGAATGGGGCGAGTGGTGACGAATGTCGTGTCCCTCTCGAAGGTTTCCATTGGCGCATGAACACGAGAACTACTTCAAACAAGAACGATAAGAGTAAAATAAACTCTAATTTTATACGCGTTTTATAGTAAAATTAATTTCGGCATTACAGCAGCGCTCGCTTAGAACTGTTGTAAAAGTATTGAACCTCTCTGATACAAATACAAGTATAATCTTTTGTACTGAAGTATATTTGCCAAGCCATTTAACCTATTCATTCTCAGCTGTTCGTCTTTTGTTTCAATTTCTTAAATTTTTTTAAAAATATTAAGATTAATAATAATGTATTATGAAGAAAACTGACAAGACGAAGGTGGTGATCGGATTTAAGTAAATTCAACAATGAATTTCGCAGACATATTCAGTTAAGCGTTGTAATTTAACATTGTTTTTTCAATGCTTTAAACAACATTTTTATAACTCATTTTTTTCCTGACTGAATCTGTCCTTTCATAGACAGCATTAACAAATAATAAACATATTTTACATGAATTAATTACAATAAGATGATAAAGGAACGCCATACCCACCATGTCTAAGACATGTATAGAAGTACATGTATTTCTAGACACAGACAGCAACATAGTGAGACCATGTTCATTTTCCAACTCCGTGTGGAATTCCAAATTAAGTATAAAGTGATGCTTGTCGTAACTTGGTTGACTGGTGGCATCGTATCTCGACCGCGTGGATCGTTGTTTACAATATCAATTGCTGGTTTGCCTGGTGATGGCTCCATTATGTACGAGCAACCGTCATGTAAACAAACAAATATATGCAAAGCTCGTTCAAATTTAAAGTTTTAAAAAGAATAAACTAATGTTAAGACATTGCCGAGTACAGACTATGTACTAGATATACCATAAACTGATGAAATTGTAAGTAATATACTAGTTATATAACAGATTAGATCAATAGAGGTTATCACGCGAGTGTGTTTGGGGATGGTAAATATCCTGCATTAGGAATAAACATTGTATTTAGCGAGCCTTGGCGAGCTAAATACACAGTGTTTATTCCTAATACAGGATATTTACCATCCCCAAACACACAAGCGTGATAACCTCTTTATCATATAATGTCATTCTTTAATTCTGTGCTTCAAAATCGCTTCCCCTCTCTCACAAACATTACCGAAACATTGCGAGTTTTCCTGGAATGCGCGCATTAATATTTATTACGTCACAGGTAAAGTGATGTGTCAGTCGGACAGTGACAGTAGCCAATATAGTTCCAACTGAAATCTGTTTCTTATACAGTGGCGAAGCAACATATACGCAAAACAACAATTGTTTTTAATTGCCTTTCGCGGCAATCCATCGGTCTGTCTGCTAGAGTAACTGCCCTTTGTCAAAGGGAAGCTACTCTAACCCTAGTCTATGGGACGTCACGGCCACGGTCAGACGTTGTTGACAGTCGGTCTGTCCTGTCATTACAATAGGAAGTGTAGTCAGATGTACACACAGCGACAAAACGAAACAAAGTAACAATTCAAACATATTTCCGCCAAATCCAACTATTTTAATTTGTGGATGAGGTTTCAAGCCGCAGAGGTCTACAAGCACAGATATGGCTACTGATCCCGCTTGGCTAGGCCTCGTGCCCTCGCCAAATTGTTTCGAAATTTATATCTCCAAAGTTGACAAAACTTATAAAATGCCTTAGCTACGTCACAGTTAGACACAGATTTTCAGTATATTAGACTGTTCTTTTGATAATGATAGCAATTATCCCTGTAGTTTATCCAGATTCCCGATGGTTAATTCTGACTCGATCCCCGAATGACAAGGGCGACGCCATGTTTGTTTATAAACAGTGAAAGTAGTCCCTACTTGACCTTTGATATTTGCATCTCTATCCGCATATGATTCCAACGGATATCGTTTTTATCCGTTGGCTTTATCCTGCCTAGAAACCTACCCATTATATGATAAACCAGAATATATGTACATCACCCATTTAGGTAATTTAAAACCCATATTATTTATTACATTCAGTTTTAAATAACAATTTCTGTCAGTATATCATGCTCATCTGTTTACGATAGCGTCCGCTTCTTTCACAATTATCGAAATAATTCGTTCGAATCTTCAACACATTCACGTTTATGATTTGTAGTATATAAACAATCATATGGTTGTGAATGTTTATTGAGAATCATTTTTTTCTTCTAGCAACCTGCGTTTTTTCTTCAGTTATCTCTTGTGAATGTAATAAAAGTATGTTACACGCATCTGGCAACACACAGAGGTGTTTGTGTAGGGGCATCATACAAATCAGATAATCACCCAAATATATATTTTTACCAATTAAATCCGTTGAAAATATATTACCTAATTGTGACATTTATAATCCATCTACACGAATCGCCCGTTTATAAATAAGCTAATAAAGCGAAGTTAAACATCATTGTCATGGAAGAGGGTTGTCTGTATACATGTAAGAGCGAGCTGGTACACATGACGTTTGTACCCCAGAGCAACGCCGACATAGATCGTTAATAAAAGCACAAACCAAACTCAGCTGAGCTGACATAGACCTTAGTTGTCTACTTTTGACATGGGCCATGAGTTCTAGGAAACATATGAATGACCTCAGCAAAATCAGCCATATCTCTGGTTACATGTTCACTTTACTAATCTAATATTTCAGTAAAACATTTTTTTTCAATCGAAAGTATGAAATTTCTTTATATTTGTGTTGTCTTTATTGAAATATGAGCTCTCTTGATCTGTCACAAACAAATTTGTAAATATTGTCCGCAATATGTCCGCAACACAATATGGGTGTGGGTGGGTGAGTTATTGTGACATATGTTTATATGTAACAGGTAATTAAATAATTTGTTTTGAAATAGGTGATCAGTTTATCACTTTGTTTTAATTGTTTATATATTGGAATGCCATCACATTGGATATTTACACTGAATATAGTTTTTGGAAAGCCACGACAAGTCATGGCTCACATTGACGCATGTCGCAGTCAAGGGAGCCGTCTCCTGAATGTAATGAAAAGCACTTGAACATTGGAAATCTCTCAATCAACATGGCCCGACAAGTAACAACATCAACTACTATGACATCATTCTGAATAGGGGGACACTGAATGGGGAACCGACAATCTACATGTTTCCACATTTAAAAAAAAAAACGTTTAAAAAATAAAAAAAATAAAAAAATAAAAAATTCAAATACTGGGAATTATATTTATCGAAGTACCCATATCCTGACGCGCTTTCTGATTGGCTTGTGTGCCGTTTCGACGAGGGGGGAGGGCCTTGTTGTGGGTTCTGGAAACATGCGAGTGGGTACGAATGAAATATAACGGGACACAGGAGTTACCTCCCTTACGCCGAGACGGTCAACCCGCACACCGCTTTGTTTAGCTTGCGACACTGACGACAAGGCTCACCCCACCATGGCGCGAGTGTTAGACTTCGTCTTCTTTCTATATTTCGCCTCACACATCCCAATCACAATACTCATAGATTCACAAGCTATTTTCCCGTCGTCGTTTTTCCCAGATCAGGTAATGTGCTGAATGTATACGCGCGAAGTGTTCTCCCAAAAACATAGTTAGCGTCTCGGGTCAAAGGTGAAAGGTTGGCCATGACTCGATACTGGGAACAGGCCATCAACCGTGAGTAAAACCTCACCTTGTATGCCACTCTTTGGAGGGGCCTGGTACATCCGGGTGAATGGCCATGTTGTTGGTTGTGATAGTGTTCACCATACCTCGATACATTAATCGCGGTTAGTAAGTGGTTGCATTCAAAGGATTCGGCCTACAACACGATACTGACAATGACAGTTGCTGTGTTCTTCGTTTGAAAGTGAAAAGCGAAAACCCCCTAAATCATGTAGGTTGAGTTGAATAGAGTCCATGAACTGTAATTGCGTATCTGGTGGGGTGGGGTGGGGTATTTGTTGGGCTAAATTAGAGATAATATCGGGGTGTGGGTGGGTGCTTAAAGGGAGGTAATCCAGGGAGTTGATTTTACTGCGCTTCAATATATCCACGTGTTATGGGTTTTCAGACGCTTAAGAAATTTTCGTAGATTTCTCTCGAATCACATGAACAACTGTAAGACATCCCTTTCACTTATAAAAGACAACTTTCTCTTCACAAATGCCATCATCTGATTATTTTAGAATGTCTGTGTGCTGCTACACCCCATTATAGCGCGAGTAGTCGCCAGAAACATGACCGTAAACGTATGATGTCTGAAAAGCTATGATCCGAGGATATATTTGCTACACGTGTGTCGTGATGAGTACCCCACTCTGTTGGGTACCTCCTAATCTGAGTGCTGAACTGCATTTGAACCGACATGTATCATATCATATGTCTCCATTATATGAATCTCCGAACCGTGTCTCCAGGTGGTGGCGCTGAAGGAATGGTATTGTCGGGAGTTCCGGGACCCCATGATGATGGAACCTCCACAATGGTTTCTCTCCTTCATCTACTGCGAGATCATCTTCCAGTTCCCGTTCTTCTTCGTCGCGGCCTATGCCTACTTCAAAGGTAGGAGGAACCACTTCATGTTAATGGCCAGCTGTCTGTGTCACATCGTTTCTGCAAGCCAATGTGTTTGTTTGAGTGTTGTTTAACGCCGCACTCAACAATACTCCAGCTATATGACGTCGGTCCGTAAATAAGCCAGTGATTGGCATCATGAGGATCGATCCACGTAGTTGGCATACGATGACATGCATCAACCAAGTCAGCAATCTGACCACCCGATCCCGTTAGACGCCTCTTACCACAAGCTGGGGCACGGGTGGCCCAGTCGTCTAAGGGGCCGCGATTCGCTGTGCAGAGTCGCGTCCCTTGGGCACGCCAGAAACCTATGATTGTGGGTTCGAATCCCGGTTCGCCCCGATTATGTTTCTAGGTTTGTCAGCACCATACCCGTGCTCATGGGTTTCCCCGAAGTGATAAACGTCTGAGACCTGCATCACTCCGGGCTTTCCTCCCAAATGAAGCTGACACGCCGCATATCACTGGAATACTGTTAAAAGCAGCGTTAAAACCCAACTCACTCACTCACTCTTACCACAAGCATAGTTGCCTTTTACGGAAAGCTGAAGACCGGATCTTCACGGGTCGCAAGCCAATGTGTGTGTGAATCTTGTTAGTGGAGTATGTTTGGAATGGAGAAGTCCTACCTTTCAGCAAGCACCTGCTGTACATAGCGGAGTTCAAGAGTGAATGTTTTCCAAGGCAATTTACAGCTTTAGACCCGTGAAGATTCCGGGGTAGAATAGGTCTTCAGCAACCCATGCTTGCCGTAAAAGGTGACTATGCTTGTCGTAAAAGGCGACAAACTGGATCGGGTGGTCAGGCTCGCTGACTTGGTTGATGCATGTCATCGATCTCAATTGCGTGGATCGATGCTAATGATATCAATCACTGGATTGTCTGGTCCAGACTCGATTATTTACAGACCACCGTCATATAGCTGGAATATTGCTGAGTGCGGCGTTAAACAACAAACCAACGAACCAAGCCTGTTTGCAGCTACACAATGGCGGCCAGTGATGTGATAAACTCAGTTTGTCTCATGAAGAGACAAACCAGTGGTCGACAGCATGATCAGCGGCCCTGCTCCTGTTTTTTTGGTTTGTCAATTAGAATTTTTGCTTCCATTACAACGACCATGTACAATTGGTAGAGTAAGAATGTAATCTCGAACCAGTCTGATTAAACAAACGAAAAGGTAATTCATCTGGGACATATGGTCAGTCGTAAACCTTTTCAAATACACTATGATGGCATTCCCAAAGACATAAACAAAAGTATAAACGTTTATACATTTGTGACCCACACTGGTCAGCCTCGTTACCGAGAGTGTCACGAAGTGTCACGCTCTGGGGAGGAGCTTGGTCGACCAGGTGTCTGCCTTGATTATCCTGGCGTCTTACCAACATGTAGCATCATCAGCGTCAGTGGGGGTTTCGTCGCGTATCTGATCTGTACCGTACTGACTCACTCACCAGACCCGTGAAGATCCGGTTTAGAATTGGCCTTCAGCAATCCATGCTTGCCGTAGGAGTGAGTGAGTGAGTGAGTTAAATTTACCATCGCATCGGCATTATTTCAGGCATATAGCAACGAGTTGTTGTAAGAGGCGACTAACGAGATCGGATGGACTTGATGCATGTCATCCCAATTGCGTAGATCGATGCTCATGATGTCAGTCACTGGACTGTCTGGTCCAGAATCGATTATGTACAGACTGCTGTCATATAAATAAACAAACAACAAATTAACAACAAATAAACAAACAAAGAAAGACTCATTCACTCACCATCATGTTACCGCACCACAGACATTGTGGCTACAGGATCTGCATTTTCAGGCCAAATGTCCACATTTGGTTACTCCCAAGTTTCGTCCCGGCACTAGTCTAGCACATAGTCTGACTCTGGTCTGGCACATAGTCTAGCACTGGCCATGGTCTGGCACATAGTCTGGCACTGGTCTGGCACATAGTCTGGCACATAGTCTGACTCTGGTCTGGCACATAGTCTAGCACTGGTCTGGCACATAGTCTGGCACATAGTCTGGCACATAGTCTGGCACTGGTCTGGCACATAGTCTGACTCTGGTCTGGCACATAGTCTGGCACTAGTCTAGCACATAGTCTGACTCTGGTCTGGCACATAGTCTAGCACTGGTCTGGCACATAGTCTGACTCTGGTCTGGCACATAGTCTGCCTCTGGTCTGGCACATAGTCTGGCACTGGTCTGGCACTGGGCTGGCACATAGTCTGGCACATAGTCTGGCACATAGTCTGGCACATAGTCTGACTCTGGTCTGGCACATAGTCTGGCACATAGTCTGGCACATAGTCTGGCACTGGTCTGGCACATAGTCTGGCACATAGTCTGGCACATAGTCTGACTCTGGTCTGGCACTGGGCTGGCACATAGTCTGGCACATAGTCTGGCACTGGTCTGGCACATAGTCTGGCACATAGTCTGGCACATAGTCTGGCACTGGTCTGGCACTGGTCTGGCACATAGTCTGGCACTGGTCTGGCATATAGTCTGGCACTGGTCTGGCACATAGTCTGACTCTGGTCTGGCACATAGTCTGACTCTGGTCTGGCACATAGTCTGCCTCTGGTCTGGCACATAGTCTGGCACTGGTCTGGCACATAGTCTGACTCTGGTCTGGCACATAGTCTGCCTCTGGTCTGGCACATAGTCTGGCACTGGTCTGGCACTAGTCTGGCACTAGTCTGACACATATTCTGGCACTGTTCTGGCACATAGTCTGACTCTGGTCAGGCACATAGTCTGGCACTGGTCTGGCACTAGTCTGGCACTGGTCTGGCGCTGGTCTGGCACTGGTCTGGCACTAGTCTGGCACTAGTCTGGCACTGGTCTGGCACTGGTCTGGCACTGGTCTGGCACATAGTCTGGCACTAGTCTGGCACTGGTCTGGCACATAGTCTGGCACTAGTCTGGCACTGGTCTGGCACATAGTCTGGCACTGGTCTGGCACTGGTCTGGCGCTGGTCTGGCACTGGTCTGGCACATAGTCTGGCACTGGTCTGGCACATAGTCTGGCACTGGTCTAGCACATAGTCTGGCACTGGGCCGGCACATAGTCTGGCACATAGTCTGGCACATAGTCTGGCACTGGTCTGGCACATAGTCTGGCACTAGTCTGGCACTAGTCTGGCACTGGTCTGGCGCATAGTCTGGCACCGGTTTGGCACATAGTCTGGCACATAGTCTGACTCTGGTCTGGCACATAGTCTGGCACTGGTCTGGCACATAGTCTTGCACATAGTCTAGCACATAGTCTGGCACTGGTCTGGCACATAGTCTGGCACTGGTCTGGCACTAGTCTTGCACTGGTCTGGCACTGGTCTGGCACATAGTCTGGCACATAGTCTGGCACATAGTCTTGCACTAGCCTGGCACTAGTCTGGCACCGGTTTGGCACATAGTCTGGCACATAGTCTGACTCTGGTCTGGCACTTAGTCTGGCACATAGTCTGGCACTGGTCTGGCACATAGTCTGGCACTGGTCTGGCACTAGTCTGGCACTGGTCTGGCACTAGTCTGGCACTGGGCCGGCACATAGTCTGGCACATAGTCTGGCACTAGTCTGGCACTAGTCTGGCACTAGTCTGGCACTGGTCTGGCGCATAGTCTGGCACCGGTTTGGCACATAGTCTGGCACATAGTCTGACTCTGGTCTGGCTCATAGTCTGGCACATAGTCTGGCACTAGTCTGGCACTGGTCTGGCACTGGTCTAGCACATAGTCTGGCACTGGTCTGGCACTAGTCTGGCACTGGTCTGGCACTGGTCTAGCACATAGTCTGGCACTGGTCTGGCACATAGTCTGGCACTGGTCTAGCACATAGTCTGACTCTGGTCTGGCACTGGTCTGGCACATAGTCTGACTTTAGTCTGGCACATAGTCTGGCACTAGTCTGGCCCATAGTCTGACTCTGGTCTGGCACATAGTCTGGCACTGGTCTGGCATATAGTCTGGCACTGGGCTGGCACATAGTCTGACTTTGGTCTGGCACTGGTCTGGCACATAGTCTGGCACTGGGCTGGCACATGGTCTGGCACATAGTCTGGCACTGGTCTGGCCCATAGTCTGGCACTAGTCTGGCACATAGTCTGGCACTGGTCTGGCACATAGTCTGGCACATAGTCTGGCACTGGTCTGGCACATAGTCTTGCACATAGTCTAGCACATAGTCTGACACTGGTCTGGCACATAGTCTGGCACTGGTCTGGCACATAGTCTGGCACTGGTCTGGCACATAGTCTGGCACTAGTCTGGCACATAGTCTGGCACTAGTCTGGCACATAGTCGGGCACTAGTCGGGCACATAGTCTGGCACATAGTCTGGCACTAGTCTGGCACATAGTCTGGCACTGGTCTGGCACATAGTCTGGCACATAGTCTGGCACTGGTCTGGCACATATTCTGGCACTGGTCTGGCACATATTCTGGCACATAGTCTGACTCTGGCCTGGCACATAGTCTGGCACTGGTCTGACTCTAGTCTGGCACATAGTCTGGCACTGGTCTGGCACATAGTCTGGCACATAGTCTGACTCTGGTCTGGCACTAGTCTGGCACATAGTCTGACTCTGGTCTGGCACATAGTCTGGCACTGGGCTGGCACATAGTCTGACTCTGGTCTGGCACATAGTCTGGCACTAGTCTGGCACTGGTCTGGCACTGGTCTGGCACATAGTCTGGCACCGGTTTGGCACATAGTCTGGCACATAGTCTGACTCTGGTCTGGCACATAGTCTGGCAATGGTCTGGCACATAGTCTGGCACATAGTCTGGCACTGGTCTGGCACTGGTCTGGCACTGGTCTGGCACTGGTCTGGCACATAGTCTGGCACATAGTCTGGCACATAGTCTGGCACTAGCCTGGCACCAGTCTGGCACCGGTTTGGCACATAGTCTGGCACATAGTCTGACTCTGGTCTGGCACATAGTCTGGCACATAGTCTGGCACTGGTCTGGCACAT